GTTTACACGAGAGCTCTGTCTGCATCGCCACATTTTTCCTAAAAACGGCTTTCCCCCGAGTGGCAACCATACCTGGGTCTCCCTCTGGGCCAGTGCCCACCACTTGAGTAGCCTTCTCTAGCTGGGAATAAGTGGGGTGGGGGGGGCTGCACCCTGCCCGCGCAAACTGTAAATGATTCTTGAGTCTGTTAATATGAAATGCGCCAACGTTACACTTCTGTATTATTTTTTTCTTGAGTGTTATTCCTCTGAACAGAGTAACAGTTCAATTCATGCAACGTACTTTGCGGTTGAATATGGATCGGTGCTTCTTGATTGATGAGATTGTTACATATTTTTGCTTGTGTCACTGATTCTTTCTTTTTTTGTGTGTGTGTGTTCTGAATTTCTTCATGGAGGAATCCTGTCATCCAGTTCTTGCAGTATTTCTTGACTGTATTGCAGTAGCATATATGCTACTGTAATGCACATTACTCTTGTCATACCCAAGTAGAGCTCTGGAAAATAGCCAGCATGAATCAAAACAATCACAGTCTTAGTTTCTTAATAATGTTAAGTGTAACTTTGCACCTCTGAAATATTTCTGCAATTTCTCTTAATACTGTAGTGCAGGATAAAGTTAAGCTAAGACCTACATTTGACATTAATAAAGCCAAATGTTATAATTGGCAAGAAATGGATAACTTACAGAGAAATAAGTGAGACTTTATTACCTGAGATGCACAATTCATGTTGTTCTGACAAAGCAGCTGGCGTCTTGCCAGATGACTAAAATAATTTTAAATTATGGCTATGAACCTCTTTCGTTAACAAAATCATGATTCCAATAAAGCAGAAATCTAATAAAATAGTCACTTCCAAGCTATGTTTGCATAAGAATATTGGTTTAATTTAAAGTGGAGTTTGACATAGGGAAGCCAGGAAGAGATTTTTGCTATGAATCTATTCTAGCCCTTAATACAGGCCCCTTGTAAGACAGTAAATTATTCTTGCTGTAAAACTTCACCAGACTAGCTGAACGCCGGAGGCTGAGTCTGGTATCTGCTTGTTCCTGGACAATTTTATTTTCTTCTCTCAGATAATGTCTTAGATTATTAATTACATCAGTCTCGAGTGAAAGCTGAGCTTTGCAGCCATGGATGATTCTTTTTTAAGAAAAATAAATTCCTACGGTGAAAATCCCTAAGGTATTTGCATTGGAAAAATCGATACAGAAACTTGAAAACTTAGCTTTGAATTAAAGAAAAAAGGCAAACTGTCCATATGAAATATGAGAATATGGCATTATTTCTGCTATAGATTTATTTTCTTACCATTAATGAGTATAAATGTACATTTAATTTCTAGAAAAGTAATGTAATCTACATCACGGAGGAACTGGAAGCAATGTTAGGTAAGTACAGTTGCATCTGTCATGCAGCAGGAATGCTTGCAGTACAACCTGGTTTCCAGATATAGCTTTTTCAAATCAAAGTTATCAGCATAGAATGTCAGATCAAATTCATCACAGACAGTAGAAAAATAAAACGTTGTGATCCTAGGTGAAATTCAACCCAGTCTTCAATGGTTTTCAAATCTCTCTCATGCTGTAGAATGGTAACTATAAAATATCTCCCCAACGAATGAAAGGTAGCCTGAGAACAAAGTATTCCCCTTTCGGTGAAGGTTCGGATGCTCTTCCCAACTTCTCTTTCAGTCAATAAGATTGCATTTTCATAGTGAGCGTCCTCCATCCGAGGATCTCAAAGTGCTTCACGAGCATTAGTGAAAGAAGCCTCACAAAGCCGTAGCTGGGCACCGTCATCTCATCTTTGCCATGGCGGGGATGCACGTGGGTTGGCAGATTTGTGATGTGTGACAGAGCTAAAAATTCCCTGTCGAGCCCTGCTGTTCAGTACGGCCGCCTGTAACCCCTCGAGCTGTCTGATGGAGGTCATTGGGCTTTTATGCAGATGAGCATAAGCTCTGTAGAAGTCCGGCAATCTGCTTTCTAATGAAGTCCAATTCATTCAAATAAACACTGTAACACAATGACCGTGCTTTAGAAACGTTTGAGGTTGTATAGTCATCTATTGGGCTTATTTTAAATAGTTATAAACATGGTTAATAGTTGCTTACCTACTGGTGATTAAGTTTTACATTAAGTGCAGAAGAACCTTATG